CGGCCCTCTCAGCAGGGGGCCCTGACGGTGGGTTGATGACCCTGATGTTTCTACAGCGGTTTCAGTTCTTCCCCTGCTCAGCTGGTGGTGTTATCAGAGGCAGAAGGGACTTTGAGAGCTGGGGCTGGAAAAGATGGCTGGAGACAGTGCTATCAGCACCGCGGCCTCCCTTGGAGCCAGGCCAGGTGGGCATCAATGCAGGCGGTCCTCAGAGCGAGTGCATCTGGGGCCGCTCACTTCAGCGCCTGCACCTCTGGGATTAGAAGCAGCGGGCAGGGGTCAGAAGGCAGACCTCCCAAATCTGCAGGACGGGGGCCTTAGTGCCCGTTTTGGCACCCAGGGTCCATGTGCAAGCTACTCAAGGAGCATGCGCACTGCTGATTGGCTGCCTTCAGACCGGGGTGGGGAAAGGACAGTGGTGCAGAGCTTAGAATTGAAATGAACCAAGATTAACCTTCCCTGGAGGCTCAGCTGGTAAAGAGTCTGCCTGCAATGCAGGAGACTGGGGTTCAGTCCCTGGGTTGAGAAGATCCCCTGGAGAAGGGAATGACAACCCATTCCATTATACTTGCCTGGAGAATTCCAGGGATAGAGGAGCCTGGTGGGCCACAGTCCATGGGGTCACAAAGAGTCTGACACTACTGAGTGACTAACACTGCTTCTACTACTAACCACAATGTACCAAGACTTCCCCTGGAACTTGCCAGCCTTCAGTAGACTCCATGCATGCCTGTGTGCTAAGTCGCTTCAGTCACGTCCGGCTCTTTGTGACCCTGTGGACCGCAGACTTCCAGGCTTCTCTGTCCATGGGATTCTCCAGGCAAGAATACTGGAGTGGGATGTCATTTCCTCCTCCAGAGATCTTCCCGACCCAGGGATCAAACCAGTGGCTCTTACATCTCTTGCAGCAGGAGGCAGGCTCTTTACCACTCACGCCACCTGGGAAGCCCTCAATAGGCTCCAGGGTTCTAAAATATTGGATACCATAGGAAAGCCCCAGTGGGTCAGCTCTGAGTACTCTCTCAGGACTGGTCCCACCTTCTCCCTTTTCTCTTTCCACCCTTGTTGTTCAGTCATGTTCACTCTTTTTGACCCCAGGGACTGCAGCACGCCAGGCTCCTCTGTCCTCCACTATCTCCTGGAGTTTGCTCACATTCATGTTTGTTGAGTTAGTGATGCCATCCAGCCACCTCATTCTACTACCTGGGCATCCACCAACAGTCTGTAGTTTGCACTGAGACTTCACCACATTTCTTGGACCAAAAACTATTTTTAAATCTGGGTTCCCAACCTTGGGCCAGGAACTGGTACCAGTCCGAGCCCTGTTAGGAACCAAGCCACACAGCAGAAGGTGAGGGGGCAGGTGAAACCCAAACCATCCCCCACCCCCATCCATGGAAAAATTGTTTTCCACAGAACTGGTCCCTGACACCCAAAAGTTTGGGGACCGCTGTTCTAACTGAAGCAGTATATTCATCAGGGTTCTTCAAAGCATTGTTTGGGCCAACTTTATGTAGTTTGGACTAATCTGGAAAGCCTGTTAAAATACACATTCCTGGACCTCATCCTTGGAGACTCTGATTTAGTGTATCTGAAGTGCAGGAAGAATTAGCCTCTTTGGGATTCCCATGTAGCTCAGTAGTAAAGAATTCACCTGCTGATGCAGGAGACAGTGGTTCCATCCCTAATCCAGGAAGATCAAACATGCCTTGGAGCAACTAAGGCCCTGAACAACTACTGAACCCGTTTGAGAGCCTGGGGGCTGGAAACACCAAGCCCACCTGCTTCAACTACTGAAGCCCAAGTGCCTAGAGCCCATGCTCTGCAACAAGAAAAAACACCGCAGTGAGAGGCCGTGACTGCAACATGTAGCCCTCCCTCTCTGCAAGTAGAGGAAGGCCCAGGCAGCAATGAAGACCCAGCACGGCTAAAACTAAATTAAATTCAAGAGCTAGCCTTTTGTGAGCTCCCCGGGTGATCCTTCTGTTTCTCGGGCCACACTTTGGGTAGGACTGATTTATACTGCCTTTCATTACTAGAGAACACGGGACAGCTAGCTGGTGGCTTTCATTTAAAATGCTGCGAGTATGTGGTCTGTGCCAAAACCCAGCCTAGCTTGAGACTTTATTGCTGAGTCCAATTTGTACTGCTCTCTGTAGGACAGAAAAATAAATCAAGAGACGAGTTGTGGGGGTTAAGGAAAAACAACTTTATTTGGAAATCCCTTAAGACAGAGAAGATGGTGGACTCCTGTTCCAAAGAATCATTTTAACTGAGTTATAATTCAGGCTCCTTTTATACTAAAAGGGGGGTGGGTGTGGCTGGTTTCTGCAGCCATTTGCTATTCCACTTCTTTAAAAAATTATTTTTATTTAAATATATTTTTTTTTTACAATGTTGTGCTGGTTTCTGCCAAAGGTGATGGGGTCCTTTGTTCTTTGTTCCTGGGATCCTGGGATCTTTGTTCTACAGCAGTCCATGTAGGTCTGGTCATATCGGTGTTCTATAACCCTCCCAGCAAGAAAAATAGCTATCCTCTGTTTATCACTATATGAATGGCAGGGTGTACGCCTCTTAAGGTCAGAGCCTTGAGAATGGGATGTCTTGGGTATTGCAGGCTATAGGCGACATTCTTTTACAAAATGAGCAGAGTCAGCATGACTAAGCGGAGGCAACAGAGCAGGAAGATCAGAGCTGAAGGGATGGATTCCATGAGCAGTGAGGTTTGTTCTTTGCGAGAATGTGCCTGTGCTGAGAGCCAGGAGCTGCGGAATCCGGGAGACCTGGATCCTATGGGCTGGGCCATACTGGACAATCGCTCTGTAAGCTTCAGGCCCCTGAGTTTATAATTAGAACTAAAACTGCTGACCTCACAGGGATGCAGTGAGGATTATGGAAGGGACAAGTGAGGGGTCCAGAGCCTTCATAGGAAACAGGCTTGTTAAATGTGAGATAGATTTTTAATGTATGTATTTTTTAGAAATTGAACTGCAAGAAACCTCTCCTGACCCCCACTACCCTTGACTCCCACCCTGGCCTTCTGTGTCTCATATACTCATCAAGTGGGTCATCTTGGTTCCCACCACTGAGACGGAGCTCCTAGGAGGAGGGACCTAGTCTGTTAGCTCACTCCTACCCCACCCAGGGTCTTGTACAGTGCTTGGGACGTGCAGATGGTCAACACATATATATAGTCTGCTAGCACCAGCCTCCAAGAAGCTCAGTGTCAGAGGTGGAAACCAAGACGACCCATTTGATGAGTGTATATATATATATATATATATATATATATATATATGGCTTCCCAGGGAACACTGGTGCTGAAGAATCCACCTGCCAATGCAGCAGATGCAAGAGATGCATGTTCCACCCCTGGGTCGGGAAGATCCTCTGGAAAAGGAAATGGCAACCCACTCCAGTATTCTTGCCTGGAAAATCTCATGGACAGAGGGGCCTTCAGGGCAACAGTTCATGGGGTCACAGTCAGACATGACTGAGCACACGCGCGCGCACACACACACACGTGTATAAATCAGATGGAATGCATGTAGAAACTATATTAATAACTCTCAACCCAGGTTACACTTGAGAATTCCCTGGGATACATCTCAGAAATTCTGATTCAATTAATCAGAGGCCGTGTATCTCAACCTTGGCCTTACATCAGAATCACCAGGCAAAAATTTTAAATCCACATGCTCAAGCCTCATCTGTCAGCATCTCTTGGGGGAAGACCCAAGAACCAGTAGTTTTAAAAAGCTCTTTCCTCGGAGGAACCCAGTCAGTCAGAGGGGGCTGGGCGTCACTGGGTCAGATGCAGAAGCAATTGATTGACACAAGGAGTGGGTGAGTCACGTGCTCTTAGGTACACACAAACTTTACTAACATTTTTTATTTCCTGCCATTCTCGATGTTGGTGATGTACCTTAATTTGTGTGTGTCCGGTACAGCTCTCTTTTGTGTTCATGTCTCTGTCTCTCTGGCTATTTGCTACTGATGTTGGGTAACTGTGCAAGTTGAATAATATCCTCTCCTCCCCACCTTTTAAAAATAATTTTATTGATTTATTTTTCCGGCCGTGCTGGGTCTTCACTGCTGCCTAGACTCTTCTCTAGCTGGGGCGAGCGGGGGCTGCTCTCTAGGTGTGGTGCCCAGGTCTCTGATTGCAGAGGCTTCTCCTGTTGCAGATCATGGGCTCTAGGGCGAGCGATCTTCAGTAGTTTCAGCACACGCATTCAGCAGTTGCAGCTCCCAGGCTCGAGAGCGCAGGCTCAGCAGTAGTTACTCACGGGCTTAGCTGCTCGATGGCATGGGGAGGAATCTACCCAGACCAGGGATCCCACCCGGGTCTCCGGCCTTGGCGGATGGATCCCTCACAACTGAGCGACCAGCCGAGCCCCTCCTCACCTCCACCCCCACCCCCACCCCCCAACTTATGTCCACTGGTCTCCGCGAATGCTTGAAAGTAGGTTGTTTGCAAATGTGGGCAAACGAAGGTGAAGTTGCTCTTGCCTAGGAAGGGCCCTGATCCGACGACCGCTGTCCTCAGGAGGCGAGACACGCCAAGGGAAGCTCCAGGAGAAGACAGAGGCCGAGCCCCTCCTCACCTCCACCCCCACCCCCACCCCCCAACTTATGTCCACTGGTCTCCGCGAATGCTTGAAAGTAGGTTGTTTGCAGATGTGGGCAAACGAAGGTGAAGTTGCTCTTGCCTAGGAAGGGCCCTGATCCGATGACCGCTGTCCTCAGGAGGCGAGACACGCCAAGGGAAGCTCCAGGAGAAGACAGAGGCCGGGACACACTCTTTCTCGGGCTTCCTGGGCGGAGCCAGCTCTGCTGACGTGTGGGTTTCAGACTTCCGGCCCCCGCTAAAGTGGAACACGTTGCTCTAAGTCAACCGGTTTGTGGGATGTGTTACAGCCCCCTAAGAGAATAATACAGAGACTTCATTGACATCTGTTGTTTGGGTCTATTTTTCAATGAAACGATTAGAGTCATAATTGTGAGATCATTCTTTTATTGTTCACACACATATCTGCTATTGATACTCGTTGAACTTTCTCTAACGGGGTCCAAGCTCCCATTCGATGAAATGTACCAAAATTCCTGTATTGTTCCAAAGGGTTAGTGGGAATTAATGAATGTGCTACATATTTAAACTTTAATGGGAGGCTCAGATGATAAAAGCACAACTTGTAAAAAAAAAAAAAGACACCCGTTCTTTCCTCTCTTTGGCCGGTGGGCATACATTCCCTGTGATCTCACTGGGCTCTGTGAAGGCCTGGAGGGAGGTTACTTTCCCAACATTTGGAATCGCTGCAGGTCAAGAACTGGTCAAGTTGGATCTGTTTACAAACTCTGCTCAAATTGTCTGAGTGCCTTGTTCTACAGGAGAACGGGTATTAGCATGGCTCATACTGTAACAAAAAAAAATACACCAAAAACAGCATGTTATCATTAACAGGAATTCACATTATGGATTACAAAGATAACTTAATGGTTCTAAAAGTTATAGAACAATTTGTTACAGCTACAAAGAAAGTTAAGAGGTATATTTACATTTCCTTCCCATTAAAAAAAAAAACAGAGATATAAACCACTGTTTTATCTATTAATAAATTTAACATAGACAATTTTCTTTCATTCCACAAGGGTTTCTTCAGTATTCAGCCTGTGCCAGCTCCTATTTTAAGAGGCAACACCCTTTATATTTATTTGGGCATATCTGTTGCAGTTATGTAATTTTAATATTATTAATTCAGTTTTGAAAGTTCACCCTCTCATAATAAAGCCCTTCCCAGTCTCATCTTGGGAAATATGGCTTAAAAAAAGGCTTACGTTTTCATGGGTACAGTTTCAACCCTGGGTACAGTTTGAACCCTATCAAATACAAAAAAAGGGAGATAATTACAATTACAGCTCGACAGTTGCGCCCCACCACCCCCACACACACATTTTTACTTTAATACATATGCTGCCGAGCAAGTTCAGGAGAAACAGGTGTTGAGAAGGAGGTGAGCGGAGTCAGAATGAACACAGTTTGCATACAAGTTCACCAGGCAGAGAGTGAAGGGTGGAGCACGGAGTAGAATGAAAAGCAGTGAAAACAGTTACAAAGTAAAGTGCCAAGTCCCCGAGACAGAGGAACTGCAAAGAAGAAATAAGAAGGCTGATTAAGACAGCTGAGACGAGTAAGCAGGAGGAAAGATAGTGAAAATAAGTGTAAGAAAATCTTTACAAAGGAAACATCTGATGAGGGGTGATCCCGCCACTTTAGAAAACAATCGAGTTCCACCCCATCAGAGCCCCTGTTTAACAAGCGCTTGCAGGGCGGTGCCGCTCAGAAACCCTCATCAGAGCCCGTTTAACAAGCGCTTGCAGGGCGGTGCCGCTCAGAAACCACCGCAGCGTCTTACTTGTGCACCAGCTCATCCTCATACACGTCTTCAGAATACATTCGACGGAGGTACTTGGCCAGCTTCACGGCGAAAATGAGAGCGGGAAGTAAAAGCAGAGTCGCTTTTCCTATGCCGAACCAAAACAGATTCTGGGGGTGGGAAGAAAAGGAAATCACGAGGCTTAGATGCTTGAAGATGGGAAATGGGAACAACACTGGCTTGGGGCGGGTGGATTTAATTTCGCATTTTTTAAAATGAATTCTAATTTCATGAACTTCAGATAAGCCAACTACCGGCTGAAGGGCTAATCTATTATTCTAGTTCATTCCGTCTTTCTGAAAGCCTGGAATTGATCCTCTTCTATTTATTTTTACAAATGAGGCACAGAGGCAGAAAGTGGTGAAGCGAGATTAAGCACCTAGGGCCCCTAAACTGGGAAGGGCCCTCCTCCATGGCTCCCCCTTGCGGCCAGCCACGGAGGCACGGACAGTGTGCAGACCGGAGCCCCAGCCCGCGTCCGAGCTGTTCATGCGATGCTGGCTCCTGAAACCTTCTGACTTTGCTCTGAATCTGAACACTGCGATGATAGATAGCATCTCTCCCCCAAGACATTATTGTGTGAGGAAAACAGATACGATGATTTTGTGCACAGGAGGCTCCCAACAAACGTTCAGTGATGAATTGAACTGATCTTTAACAATGGTCACAGGCTGGATTCAATCCTGTTCTAAGAAGCAACATTAAAGTAGTTTTTAAAAGATAGCTGCTGAGACTTCCCTGGTGGGACTCAGGCTTTGGGCTCCCAATGCAGGAGGCGCAGTTTCGGTGCCTGATCAGGGGCCTAGATCCCACTAGATGCCTCAACTAACAGTTGCAACTAAAGATCTCGCATGCAACTAAAGATCTCCCAGCACAGCTAAAGAAATAAATAAATATTAAAAAAAAAAAAAAAAAAAACTTATGGCTCTGCAAAAAAAAAAAAGATAGCTGCTGATATTCCTAAGTCACATGTCCAGTAGTTAAGAATCTGCCTTCCACTGCAGGGGGCGTGGGTTTCATCCCTGGTCAGGGAACCAAGATTTCACATGATGCATGGTGCAGCCAAACAAAAAGAGTTTTCTTCATGGGGGTCTCCTGACTTGTGTAAATAAAGTTCTACCAAGGAATGAAGATAGGCAGTAAGGACGTTGAATTTTCCAGCCTATTAGTATCACAACAAATTCATCTACAATTTATAGATCTTAGGTCTTGAATTCTACCACTGTAACAGACCCAAGCAGAAGCCTATTATTCTCTTTTTAAAATTTTTTTATTTTTTAATTTTTCTTTATTATTATCATTATTTGGCTGCCTAGCATGTAGGATCTTAGTTCCACGGCCAGGCATTGAAACCGCGGCCGTTGAATCAGGAACAGAGTCTCTTTCTGTTGGACCTCCTGGAGACCCAGAAACCTGTTTTCTGTTATAGTATGAACTATCTGGAGAAAGCAAAAGATGGTGAGTTCATTGTGTCTTCCTTCGAAAGATGAAACTCTTACCAGAGGGTCGACGATGTAGCTGCACAGAAAGACGTTAACAGCCGAATCCAGTGCAGTGGCCGCCGGTTTGCAGGCTGCAATCTGATGGGTGATCTATGGACGTAAGAGACACAGGCAAACTTTGATGGAGCCACACCCACACAGTCCCATACAACGTTCAGCCCTAGATCTCCAGGCCCTGGATAAGGAACTGAGAGCTGATCCTATGGATGAGTTCTGCAACACATGAAAGCATGTGCTCGAAAACAAGACCCCAAGTCTCTCTGAGCCTCCGGTTTCAGCTCCCTCATCTGTTACTTGCTTGTTCCCTAAGTCGTGTCTGACTCTTTGAGACGCCATGGCCTATAGACCACCAGGCTCCTCTGTCCATGAGAGTTCCCAGGGAAGAATACTGGCGTGGGTTGCCACTTCCTCCTCCAGGGGATGTTCCTGACCCAGGGATCGAACCCGTGCCTCCTGCATTGGCAGGTGGATTCTTTACCACTGAGCCACCAAGGAAGCCTCTAGAAAAAAAGGAGAAAGGGGTGGCAGAGGATGAGATGGTTAAATAGCATCACCAACTCAAGGGAAAATGAATTTGAGCAAACTCCAGGAGACAGTGAAGGACAGAGGAGTCTGGTGTGCTGCAGTCCTTGGGGTCCCAAAGCGTCAGACACAGCTGAGCAGCTGAAACACAGTGCTTGTTATTCGGAATAGTCAGACCCAGCCGGGTAGACCCTGGAGAGAATTAACAAGTACAGACACATGGCCAGCACAGTGACTCAGTCTGAATTTCTTACCTGACCCCTCTGTAATCTGACAAAGTATGTGGGAAGAAAATGGAAAGTTAAGTAATGAATACATGTACATTTTACAACAGGGGTTGGCCAACTTTTTCTACAAAGGGCCGGAATGTAAATATCTTAGGCTTTGCAGGCTAGGCTGAGACATATCTGTTGCTCCACTCTGCCATGGTGGGGTGAAAACCACCACAGATGAACAAATGGGTGTGGCAGTGTGCCAAGAAAACTTGATTTACAAAACGGGCAGGACCTGCGGACCCAGTCTGAGAAGACAGAAAATAAGGTACTCATTACTGAGGTCAGAGCCAACAGGTTTAATGAGCCACAGATGCTCCAAACCCATCAAGTTACGGTGACTCTATTCATTCACTCAAAAACTCCTGAGTAAGCAGAAGCTATTACACAGCTCTTCAGGGCAGGGGCGTGTCTTATTTCCTTTGCTTTACTGGTTGACTCACGTCCCCCTTATCATCCACCTTTACATGACAAGGCAACTCAGGTCATTAATAACCTTATGTTTCTCCTAGCTCAAACAAATTTATATACTCTCTTTATAGGCTTTTTCAAAGTGAGTTTTATAAAAACTGGGGGAAGGGTGCATACGGACTAGTGGAACAACACAGAAAGTCCAGAAGTAATCCCACCCCCTTAAGGGTGAAAGAGTCTATGACAAAGGAGGCCAGAATACACAATGGAGAAAAGACAAGCCCTTCAACTAGTGGTGCTGAGAAAACTGGACAGCTAGGTCTAAGAGAATGAAAGTATAACATTCTCTAACAACATATACAGAAGTAAACTCAAAATGGATTAACGACCCAATTGTAAGATTGGATAGTATGAAAATACCTAGAGGAAAACTTAGGCAGAACACTCTGACATAAATCGAGGCAATATTTTTTGGATCCATTTCCTTAGACTCTGAGGCTGAGAGTAATGTATACAAAAGCAAAAATAAACAAACGAGACCTAATTTAATTTAAAAGTTTTTGCACCACAAAGGAAACCATAAACAAAATGAAAAAACAACCTATGGAATAGGAGGAAATACTTGCAAGTGATGTGACCAACAATGGCTTAATTTCCAAAATAAGTCTGCACTGCTCAATACAAAAAAAAAAAACCCCAAACAACCCAATCAAAAAATGGGGCAAGCACCTAAATAGACACTTTCCCCAAAAAGATATTCAGATGGACAACAGGCACATGAAAAGACGCTGAACACTTCTCATTAGTAGAGAAATGCAAATCAAGACTACAAATGTGCTGTTGACTCTCACCAGTCAGAATGGCTATTATCAACAAGTCTACATACAGTAAGTGCTGGAGAGGGTGTGGGGCAAAGGGAACCCTCCCCGGACTGTTGCTGGGAATGGAAATGGTGCAGCCACCGTGGAGAACAGTTGGAGGGTCCTAAACACTAGAAGCAGAGCTACCGTCTGATCCGGCGACCCCACTCCTGGACATATGTCTGGAAAAGACGGAACCTGGAGTTTGAAAAAACTGCAACACCCTCATGTTTACAAGAGCACTGTGGACGCCAGCCGTGACGTGGAAACAACTTCGTCCTTCAGGTACTGCGTGTGACAGACGTGTGGCCCCTTGTCCAGTGAGGAGACGCACGGAGGCGATGGTGGTGAAGGCAGTGCCGACCCGGGCCCCCCGCCTACCCTGGGTGTGCTGGCGGGCCAGCTCCAAGGAGACCCCAAGGCCTTCAGCTCTAGGGGTGGGGGGTGGGGGGCAGCAGAGACGCCAGGAAGCTGGGCTTTGGAGGAGAAGCGGGCCGGTCTAGAGGGTGGGGCCCAGGGGAAGAGGAGATGTGACACGCCCAGAGAATTGTGTAGAAAGAGGTGAATGCTTCCCGGAATCGAATTGCAGCTGGAAGGCGGGGTGAGTCAAGAGAGCAGGAGGAGGGCGCTCCGACAGGACAGCGAAGGGCTGGGAGCAGAGCCGGAAAAGCTCCTGTCTGCTCAGGGCGGCCTGTCTCCCCGCCTCACTAGACTTCCCGGGGTCCCTCCTGGCCAGCCGCCCCTCCCCCAGGGACTCGGCTCTAAGCCCACCCCCAGTGGGAGAGTCCTCAGTGGGGACCGGCCAAGAGCCCCAGGTGACAAAAGGCACTTGTGAGATGCTGAGTTCTCCACTGGCCGTGTGCTGGGAGCAACGTGCGCCACTGGAAACTTCACTCTGCTCCTCGACGTCTCTCTTTCTACCGACTCCTGGAGACCCAGCTTTGTGGACTGACTTTTGCCCCCGACATGTTCCCAGGGTAAAATCCTAGCTCCCTGTGCCTCCGAATGCGACTGTATATGGAGACGGGGTCTTGAAAGAGGCGATTCAGTTACACTGAGGTCGCTAAGATGGCCCTGATCCAGCAGGACCGCTCTTCATATTAAATAAAAGAAGAAGAAATTGGGACACAGGCTCATGCAGAGGGGAGACTCCGTGGAAACACAGGAGAAGCCACGGAAAGGCCTCAGAAGAAACTAACCTGCCCACACTTTGAACCTGGACTTCCAGCCTCCAGAATCTTGAGAAAATAAAACTCCTATTGTCTAAACACTGAATCCACAAATACATCAATGACGTGTTAATCGCAGGTTCAGTGCTGCCCGGGGCGTGGACAAACCACAGCTGCAAATGGCCCCTACAGTAAGGAGCTGGTGGTTCAGCAGGGGAGACACAGTGGAGGAGGCCAGAATTCCTGGAGCAAGCAGCAGAGGGAGCCGGGGTGGGGGGCGGTAGGACGTGGGAGTCAGCCGTCCATGATGGCGGACCCGGGAAGGCGCCCAGGATGGGCAGCGCTTGAGTGACTTCTCATGGTTTCCTCCGCCCGTGGGCCCCAGGTGCAAGGTTTACTTATCCCCTGTCTAATTTCTGAATCCTGGTTTTACCCTAGAAAATGACATGTCCCCAGACATGGAACCCCGCATTCCAGCCGCAATCCGAATCTGGGAAACGTTCACCCTTAGGTTCATCAAAGACACGCCACTTACGGCCATCTTGACCCACTGCAGGTAACGTTCAAAGTAGCTTATTATCTTAATCCCGAACTGCTTACTTTCCTGGAAAGACATCAAAGAGCAACAAGGCCGTTAAAATGACTCTAGAGAAGCATGGGGCTATGGCTGCACACCCCCCTACTGGTATAACAACTTACTTCAATGACAACTTTGGCCAGCTGGCTGGTGAGAAAGTACTGGGTGGAATTCAAAAAGAAAATGATGTTGGATACTCTGTCCTGCAAAATACAGCAACGGGCGACACAGTGTCAAGAGACACAGGGTTTCACCAGACAGTTTGTATATCGATGCAAATACAGTTCACGCAGCCCCAAAGCACCATGAGTTGCCAGTGAAGACTGTACTAGCAGTTCATGGTTAGTGATCCCCCCCGGCTTTGGCTTCCCAGGGCATGGGTATACGGCCCCACTCCGTGATGAACCTGGCTGTGTGAAACTTGTTTTGGCAGATGGAATGTGGTTGGGCTCGCCCCGTGCTGGTTTGTGAGAATGAAAATTTATGGGCCGCAGGCACTGAGGTTTGGAGGCTGTTTGTGAAGCTGCAGCAATCTCTGTGAAAGTGACCCACGGGCCGCCTACACTTGCGTTGTACACGTCCACACACGGCTTTCCGCTGAGTAGACAACAGTGTGGCAGGATGCAGTCTGCATTTGCAGAAGTCTTTTAGAAAGTGGAGGACAGGGAAACCCAGTCTGGTGTTTAAAATGGGTGGATAACTGAGACTTGATTTTACTCAAAATAACTGCAAAACCCAACACCTCTGAAAGTCTGCATGTACTTTTGTAACAAGACGCCAAGACAGAGAAAGAAAACACATCCTTACCCTCAATCTGCTGGTCCTGTGATGAAGCCCCTTCATTTGCTGGTGCATGATGCTCTGGTGAACAAACACAGTTCATATTTCCCAGTAAGTGAAACTCGAAGAACACATGATCTTTGTGTCCACACCCCCCTGCACCCCAACGCCAAGTCAGCCATCAAATCTGACCTTACTCTGTGATAGTTTCATTCAAGAAAAAAACACCAGACACGGGGAATGATATGCACCTCCCATATCTGGGTGTAAGAAAACCTGAAGAAGAAAATCAGAATCCATCTTCTGGTGCTCTGATGGGCAGTTACATGTGACAGAGCCACACGACCCTTCTGAGGCGGGTTGTTCAGAGTAAAACCTGCCCCACAACAGTGGCTTCGTTTGCCTGGTTTAGACGAGCGGTTGGCAGACTTTGTCAGTTCAGGGCCAGATAAGAAGTATTTTCGACTTTGGGGACCACACTCTCCTAATCTCTCCACTCTGCCCTTGGAGCCAGGAGCAACCACAGAGCGTCTGTGAACAAAACCAGCCTGGCTCTGCTCCAGGAGGGCCTCGCTTCTAGCAAACAGGTGGCAGGAGGGGCATTCCCAAAAGCCCCGTGGTTCCGACTCCGCGCTTACACTGCTGGGGACCTGGCTTCAACCCCTCGCTGGGGAAATAAGATCCCGAAAGCCACAGGCCATGGCCAAAATTAATTAATTAATCAAATACAAAACAAGGAGCAGGCTGGGGGGCATCCAGGGGCTACAGTTTGCAAAGCCCTGGCTAAGGTCATAGGTCATATCTATAGAACAACTTGCCTAACTATAGGTCAGCACAACTCTGCAAAGGCCAAGGAGGCCTGTGTCTACTGGAAGGAAAGCATTAAGGGACATGTCCAAACCAACTTAAAATGTTAACAAATTTGTGCAGTGCATAAAGGATAGCACAAAGAGAACCGTGATGAGCCCAAACACAAATGAAGAAAATTCTAGAGGACTTTGTGAATTAGAAAGTCAAGAGGGAACATGAAGAAAGAGAAGTCTACAAGCAATAAATGCTGGAGAGGGTGTGGAGAGAAGGGAGCCCTCTTACACTGCTGGTGGGAATGCAAACTAGTACAGCCACTATGGAGAACAGTGTGGAGATTCCTTAAAAAACGGGAAATAGAACTGCCATATGACCCAGCAATCCCACTGCTGGGCATACACACCGAGGAAACCAGATCTGAAAGAGACACGTGTTGAAAAACTAAAGCTACCAGTCTCGGGAGAGGCAGAAGCAAGACTTGAAATCAGGTTGACATGACTCAAGAGCTTATGTTCCTTCTCTGCTTCCTTTCTGGCCTTTAAGAAAGAAGCCAGAGGGTAGTGAGAATAAAAAGAAAGGAAGGAATTGAAAGAGAAAGACTGACAAATATACACAACCGTGTGTAAAACAGATGGCCAGTGTGTGAAATAGATAGCTCCCTGCTGTACAGACAGGGAGCTCAGCGCAGTGCTCTGTGATGACCTAGACGGGTGGGATGGAGTGGGCGGGCGGAGCGCTCAAGAGGGAGGGGGGATATTCATATACAGACGGCTGCCTCACCTTGCTGTAGCACATAAGGTAACACAACGCTCTAAACCGACTATTGGTGGTGGTGTTTGGTCGCTAAGTCATGTCTGACACTTTGCAACCCCATGGGTTGTAGCCCTCCAGGCTTCTCTGTCCATGGGACTTCAGAGGCAAGAATACTGGAACAGGCTGCCGTTTCCTTCTCCTGGAGATCTTCCCAACCCAGGGATGGGACACACGTCTCCTGTATTGGCAGGCAGATTCTTTACCTCCGAGCCACCAGGGGAGCCCAAAGCAATGATGCCCCAATTTTTAAAAAATTAATTATTCAAAACAAAAAAAAAAGAAGAGAAAAGTGAGAAAGTCGGATGGAAGAGAGGAGGGAAGACGCGGGGAACAGGGAGCAGAGCTACGTGCAGACAGAAGGGACGTCGCATTGCCATCAGGGATGTCACGGCAAGGTGTGAACGCAGAGAGGCTGATAAAGCAGGTAAGACCGAGTCCAGCACTCTACCACCTGCATGGCTTAGGGGAGCCTTTAAGGCCATGACAAGTGAGAGCAAAACGGGTGGAGGCAAGTGCGCATTTAAGCTGTTCACACAGATAGGAAAAGGTAGAAAAGGAGGCATGAACATTGAAAACGCAGCCTCGTCAAAGCCCAGCTACCATCATTTCTTTCAAAAATAGCTCCGTTTCTTGGCCTGAGGTTAACTGAATTTGACCTGCGTGTGAGACACAAACGTATCACTGGGCTGGGTGAAACAGACTTTGCACAGGCCACAGTGAAAGAGCAAAAGGTGTAGATTCTCACCATTGAATTCTGCAAAGGGACGACTTGGTTCTGATGGATATTTCTTAAGGTATCTACGTGATCGTTCAAGCTGGTTTTCAAGTTTCCTGGGGGCTACAAAGAAAAGACAGTCAATAAACATTAGTACCTCCTTCCAGACTCTGGAGCACTCTCTCTAGTCACCACCAGACACATGGATAAAGCCCTTCTTATATGATGATGGGCTTGGAGGGATGGTCCTGAGACGCCCGCAGTCCATAGCGTGGACAAGAGTCGGACATGACCGGGGCATTGAGCACCGCCTCCTGAGTCCAGGGTCCTGACCATCATGCTCTGCTGCTTCAGGAAAGAGACCAGTTGCAGCCATTTGTCACCAACCAGCAGAGTAGCTGGTGACGGGGAAGCTTAAAGGGTTTGAGGTGCTCTTTGCCCTTCCGCATCCGCTCATTCTTGGAGCCGTAAAGCACCAAGTGGGATCTCGCTCCCATGTCCAAGTTACCATTCCTTACACTGCAAAAATATGCGTGCACCTATGCTGGGCAGTGGAGGGGGGAGGGCATGAAAGCAGACCAGTGCTAAAGCGGTGGGGCCGGGGACGGCCTTGGAACGCCGCCCTGGGAAGTTTCACAAGCTCACAGACTGTCGGGCCACACGGCAGTGGCCGCTGGTGGGAGCTTCTCAACAGGCACGGAGTGGCATTTTTATATCAGGGACACCTGCGGTGCCAGGAACCTCTCCCTGGCTCCTCTAAGAATGGTACTGACCTTCGCCCTCTACAGCAAGGACAGCCTTGAACAGGATCCTCTCTACTCACCAGCTGGTTGGCTTTTCTTTGGAGGTTGTTTGCAAATGACATAAGATTTACTCTTGTGGGACTTCTCTCGGTCTACAAAAGAGGTGTAGAAAACTGTGATATGGAGATGGGATTTTTAAGCCTTAACCTATAACATGCAGAAGGAAATGGCAACCCACTCCAGTACTCTTGCCTGGAAAAATCCCAAGGACAGAGAAGCCTGGCGGGCTACAGTCCATGGGGTCACAAAGAGTCGGACACGACTTAATGACTCAACAACAACCCGTAACAAGCAACAGAGTGAATGTGCGTCCGTAAACACAAGGTAAGGCTAGATACCCCTGTGTTATTTACACATACAAAACAGCATAATTTGCTTTAACCATACAGAGAAACAAAGTACCTGCTGTAATGGACATGAATCTCGAAAAACTCAGGCTACGTGACATGGACCAGTGAACGTCATCAGACAAAAAAAGGGCACCCCACTCATGAAATATCCAGAATAGGTAAATTCATAGAAGCCAGGGGCTGGAGTGGGAGACGGGGCACAATTACTTACTGGGAGTGGAGCTTTCTGTTGAAGGTGATGAACACACATTAGAACTACTTAAGAGACGGCAGTCGTGTAACATTGCAATTATACTAAATGCTAGTGAATTATTCAGTTGGTAATAAAATAATTAATTAATGTTGTGCAAATCTCATCTCAGTTAATGAAAAACAAAAAGACAAACAAATAAAAAAAAACATGCAAAAGATCACCCGGGAACACGCAGGTCATACCGCGTTTATGTAGGCAGCATAGTCTATTTTGTCTATTCCCGAAGAGCTGATATCCATAAGGGTTTTCCTTCCTGCTTCATCCAGCAGTTCTATATCGTTAATTATTAAATTCATATTCTCCAAATTACTATTTATGTCTCCAGTATGCTGCAGTTAAAAAAAAGAAAAGATTAGTAAGTTCACCCGTCTCCAAAAATGTCACTGATTTAATGCTTTAAAGGAGCAATAAAATTACTCAGGCCAAAAATAAACGCACCGGCACCTGACTGACATGTCGTCCTCGTTTTCTTGTCTTCCCTCCCAGCCCCTCCCCAACTCCCAGCCTTCTTCGCTGGGCCCCAGGCCAAGCACCATGTGAGGACCTGGGATGCAAAGCAAAAGCCTGCTACATCTCCACCCTCCAAAGACCTCAAAGTGAAGAGGCGGACTGTGATAAAGGCACATGAACTGCATCAGGACATGACCCTTGCAAGGCAGGGGGCTGGGGAGGGCTTCCGAGAGAGGTGGCTGGGGAGGGCTTCCGAGAGGAGGTGGCCTGGGAGGGCTTCCGAGAGGAGGTGGCTTCTGACCAAGTCTTGACAGACAGAGGTGCCAAAAGGGGCCTGGCGGGCTGCTTTCCAAGGGAAGGAGGTGGCCTGCCCTGGACTGGCTAGTAAAAACACTCCAGATCACGGGCATGCGGTTGGTGATTGTGGGGTCTTGTGTGTCCAAGGCACCGCTCATCATTGAGAAATGGCATCATGAGTGAGTGAGCAGAGGGCATCCCTTTGGGGCCTGACTGCAAAATGGTATTATATTTATGAGTGCATGCAAGGTATGTCTAGAGAAGAGAATACGAAATTTGTACACAGCTTTCAAATAAGCCTCTTGACCTCTGAAGACCCTCAGGCCATCTTGACCTCATGGTGCCCCTTTGGTGATGCCTCCGTACGAAGCTGTGGGGCTTGGGGAACCACCTCTTTCTTCGACTTTCCTTGATATCTGCTTCTACGTTCGAAGCCCAGAAGACACCAGCTTCCTTAGCTTCTTTCCTACACAGCAGAGAAAGCCGGCAGGCCTCTAGGCATGAGGGAGTGGGCACCACCTAGCTAAGGGCACCGGAGGCCTGGGCCGCTGGAGCCCCCGGCCCCTTCCCCAGCCAGTGCGCTCCGCAGGGGCCTCTCCTCGGTGTCTGAAGGCTCCAGACTCGGCTGGGGGCCGGGGTGAAGGAGGAAAAGTGGTCATCCACTCTGTCCCTTTCCACCCTTGCTGCCATGCTGTGTCTCGCCAAGGGCCCATCTAGGAGCCCTGGGGTCCCGCCACCATTCACACAGAGTAAGGACTCTGTGGGCCACTGTTCTTGTCCCTCATCAGTGATGTGACAGAAAGGGGTGGCTGGTCTGGGAGAGTCAATGCCCGGGAAGCAAGTAGGGTTTGTGCCTCCAGGGACTCAGACATCAGCAAGCTAAACTCTTTCCCCGGGAAGGGTCTGCGGGGAGAACCCTGGAGATGCTTTTGCTCCATTCAGAGGAGAAACTCATGTCTCAGAAAGTCCGCTGGTCGGGGGTGGCGCCAAGGTCTTGGAATTAGATAGACGTGAGGGTTGCACAGCCTTGCAAATGTATTAAAATCACTTCAAAACAGCTCATCTTATCTAATGTGAAATCCACCTCAAAAGAGAAAATGGGGACCACTGAATTTGGTAAAGAAACATGTCGATTTCCTGATTGGTCCTAATTACTCACCCCGGTTGGAGAAGGAAATGGCAACCCACTCCAGTACTCTTGCCTGCAAAATCCCATGGATGGAGGAGCCTGGTGGGCTACAGTCCATGGGGTCGCAAAGAGTCGGATACGACTGAGCGACTTCACTTTCTTTCTTACTATAGTTCCTTTTGGAGAAGGAAATGGCAACCCACTCCAGTGCTCTTGCCGGGAGAATCCCATGGGCAGAGGGGCCTGGTGGGCTACAGTCTATGGGGTTGCAAAGAGTCGGACACAACTAAGCAACTGACACACACACACACACACACACACACACACACTCACCTTTGTAATGTTGAGCTCTTCACTGACATTGTAGATGTGGTCGAGCTTAAGTGTCGCATAAAGGCCTTTGTTATCTTTGCAGTCACTGAGGGAATAAACAGAGAAATCAGGATGCAAAAGGGCAGTTGTGGCTACCTCTGTTTGCTGTGAAGGATGGAGAAAAAGGTTAACCGTCCATCTTTGTTTAATCTGTGAATATGAACACGACATGGCAGCTGGGTGTCAATGCAGTAAGCTGCCACCAGTGTCCCCAGGAATCCCCCGGGGGGCCCACCGTTCCTGACGCCTTTATCTCTTCTCCTTCATGTCCCACGTTTGGAACAGATACAAGGTGAAAGGTGAAAGTGAAGTTGCCCAGTCGTGTCTGATTCTGCCACTTCGTGGACTGCAGCCCACCAGGCTTCTCCGTCCATGGTATTCTCCAGGCAAGAGCACTGGAGTGGGCTGCCACTGCCTTCTCCAGGGGACCTTCCCGACCCAGGGACCAAACCCGGGTCTACCACACTGCAGGCAGACGCCTTACCCTCTGAGCGACCAGGGAAGCCCGCAAGAGGACAGGTGAATCCTACAGCCTTAGTGCTCTGAGCGAGAACAAAGTTTACAAACTGGGAAGACACAAACTCTAACCCAGAAAGAACAACACACGTCAGAGAGACGTGTGTTGCCACGCGTTATCCTTATGAAAAGATTTAATAAATATTAGAAGACTCTATCGGGCTTCCCTGGCGGCTCAGTGGTAAAGAATCCACCTGCCAATGCAGGAGACATGGGTCCGATCCCTGATCTGGGAGGATTCAACATGCCATGGGCCAACTAAGCCCATGAGCCGCAACTACTGAACCAGTGCTCCAGAGCCTGGGAGCCACAACTACTGAGCCCGTGTGCCCTAGAGCCTGTGTTCTGCAACAAGAGAAGCCACTGCAACGAGACGCCCGTGCAAGGCAACAGAGTGTAGCCCCTGCTCACCACAGCTACAGAAAGGCCTGCTCACCAACGAAGAACCAGCGCAGCCAAAATAAATAAATAAAACTTTATCCACTGACTTCCTGGCAGTCCAATGGCTAACACTCTGCACTCCCAATGCAAGGGTCCTGGGCTTGATCCCTGGTCAGGGAACTAGATATCTCATGAAGCAACTAACAGTTTATGTGCTACAATTACAAATCCTGTGGGCCGCAATTTATTAAGCCAAATGAATAAATTTGCTGTTAGTCAGTTGCTAAGTCATGTCCCAGGCACTGCCAAGCCATGAACTGCAGCCCACCAGGCTTCCCTATACTTCACTATCTCCTAGGTTTGCTCACATTCGTGTCCACTGAGCTGGTGATGTTATCTAAACACCTCATCATCTCTCATCCCCTTCTCCTCCTGCTTTCAATCTTTCCCAGCATCAGGCTCTTTTCCAATGAGTCGGCTCTTTATATTAAGTGGCCAAAGTATTGGAGCTTCAGCTTCAGTGTCGGTTCTTCTAATAAATACTCAGGGTTGATTTCCTTTAGGATTAACTGGTTTGATCTCCCTGCTGTCCAAGGGGCTCTCAGGAGTCTTCTCCAGCACCTCAATTCAAAAGCATCATTTCTTTCATGCTTAAGCTTATGATCCAACTCTCACATCCATACATGATTATTGGAAAAACCATAGCTTTGGATAAACAGACATGTCATGTCTCTGCTTTTTAATATGGTATCTAGGTGTGTCATAGCATTCCTTTCAAAGAATAAGCGTCTTTTAGTATCATGGCTGCAGTCACCATCTGCAGTGATTTTGGAGCCCAAGACAGTAAAACCTGTCACTGCTTTCACTTTTCCCCCATGTATGTGCCATGAAGTGATGGGACTGGATGCTATGATCTTAGTTTTTTGAATGCTGAGTCTCAAGCCAGCTTTTTCACTCTCCTCTTTCACCTTCATCAAGAGGCTCCTTAGTTTCTCCTCACTCTCTGCTATTACAGTGGTATCATCTGCATATCTGAGGTTGTTAAATATTAAAAAAATACTCTATCAAGCCCCCTCCTGACTATCTCCCTCCACATTTCCAGGGTTGAGCTCTACCTACTAAATCTAAGGTTGGACTAAGGGTAGGAGACAGGGACAGGCTGACAAACATCCACTTTGGCTGTAAACCTAACTTGTCCTCACCTCTCCTAACTTCTCTGAAACGTGGCAAATGCCTTCTCCAGTGAGCTCAGCAGGGTGGCCACACCCTTGCACATCCTTGCCACCCAGATGACCTCGTCCTGGGTGCTGCTTCCTTGTGCAGTGTCCTCGAGGGACGTCTGGGAGAAGAACTTCCCAGAATCCTGGGAGGGGTGATGCTCCTCTCTGGGGAACCCCAAGCAGACTGGCATTGGTGATACACCGTTCAGGAAGGAACGGACAGTTCTGCCGGAGACAGAATCCCAAAGAGCTGGCACAGGAGGCTGAGAAGCTTGGCTTCCTTCTCTCAAGCCTGGTGAGGGTTTCATTCGTTGCATTCATTGGAGGGCGCAGAGACTCCAATGGATTCAAAGTGTCTTCCTAGAACACTGTTTGAGAAGGCTCCTGTGACCCTCTGGGCAAAGCAGAAGACCCCAGGTGGTCAGCAAGTCTGCCATGGGGGCCGGGAGCCAGGAGGATGGACCCCTGTGCTCTTTACTCACCGTCTAGTTCCCTGGCAGTGAGGGGAGCTGGTGATACTCAGCTGACTTCAGCGGGATACTGAAGCGACAGGAAGGGGACCACGTGATCACAGAGGCCCTGGGGGTGGAGCCTGGCCTGGGGCCCAGGCGGCCTGATTCACAGCCTGGTCCTCAGGCTACACCACTATCAGCCCCCGAGAGACTCGACCTGATAACAGATGTTCGCATATGGAGGGCTGGGGAAGTCTTTCCGGCTTCTGCAAGACCTAACTCAAATTTTATGCTAACTAAAACAGATTGCTTGTGGCCTGTCAAAGAGACGTTTGTATGTCAGCTTACATACAATGAAATTATGAAAGAAAAGGGTGCACTGACCAGGAGAATGTACCCATCAAAATAAAGATTAAATGTTTCCCTCCCTGGGACATCAATGCTGGTCCTTCCTTGGTGATAAGGCTGCCCTTCAGGTGCCAAGGCCATGCTGACTCACCGTATATACACTGATCTGTTTTGTTTTTTGAAATCTTTAATGCATGTATCCCTGACTTTAATGTTACTTGTCTTGACAAGATATAAAACTGTGCCCAAAGCCATAGTTTTTGGAACAACTCCTCAGAGCTGTCTCCCTGGCTAGAGTCCTCAGTTTGGCTCACATAAAACTCTTTCCTATTCCTATTAAAGACTGTGTATTTCTGTTCTTTGCTTTTTTTCTGCTGTCCCACAAGGCTTGCGTGATCTTAGCTCCTGAGCAAAGGATGAACCTGGGCTCTGGCAGTGGAAGGATTAAGTCCTAACCACTGGACCTCCAGAGAAATCCCATGCTTATCATTTCCACTGACAGACTCATCCAGTGAATTCTAAATTGTTATACGGCATTTACCTGGGGTCAGGGTGGTTCTCAAACAAGAGTTTTCCCAGGGTCCCATGAATGTATTTTAGGGTCACCTCTACCAATGAGAAGGAAATGGCAACCCACTCCAGTATTCTTGCCTGGAGAATCCTGTGGACAGAGGAGCCTAGTGGGCTGTGCTGTCCATGGGGTCGCAGAGTTGGACATGACTGAAGTGACTTAGCATGCATGCATGCATTGGAGAAGGAAATGGCAACCCACTCCAGTATTCTTGCCTGGAGAATCCCAGGGACAGAGGAGACTGGTGGGCTGCCATCTATGGGGTCGCACAGAATCGGACACAACTGAAGCGACTTAGCAGCAGCAGCAGCTACCAATGAATTTTAGTGATAAAGACAGAGTGACTTGGGATGCACCATCCTAAGTCCTAGAGGGTTTTCCGGGGAAGAATGCCTTTTTGGTCTTACTGCTGAGACCAGAGACTGGCTTACGTCTGAAATTGGAAAGTTGACCATTCAAATGAAAGACATGTTGAGAGCGAAATTCTCACTGTAAAAACACAACATTCTAAGTAGCAAAAAAAATGCATAATGCAATTATTCATACCTGTAAACTTGTTCAAAAGTGAGATTAATATCTGGTTTGTTAAATACTAGGCCAGAGAGATAGTATTTCCAATCCTCATTTAGTAAATATGGAGTGTCCAAAATCTAGAAGAAATTTAAAGACAGTTTTACACTAACATACATGCATATAATTAAATGAATATTCTGTTAAACATATAATGTTTGGGATATTTTTATTTATATCATGATTTACTTCATTGATTTTCAACTTTAGACTAGAAAATAAAAGTGTGACTGGAATAGACAGATCACTGGGTAGAAACCATAGGAATTATTAAGAGTATGTTTTTGAGAGGAATATTTAAGCAAAATAAAGATTAGACATGGCTGAAGAATAATTTGATTCAGAATATCTAATAGAAAGCCATGAAGCAGTAGACCCAGCTCTTCACTCTTTCTCCCTAGACAAATGGAGTTAAATCAGGCACATTCTTCAGCTTCACATTACATAATTTTAAGATGGGCTAATGAGTATATGGGAGAAAGCAATGGCACCCCACTCCAGTACTCTTGCCTGGAAAATCCCATGGACCGAGGAGCCTGGTAGGCTGCAGTCCATGGGCCTGCTAAGAGTCAGACACGACTGAGCGACTTCACTTTCACTTTTCATTTTCATGCACTGGAGAAGGAAATGGCAACCCACTCCAGGGTTCTTGCCTGGAGAATCCCAGGGACAGGGGAGCCTAGTGGACTGCCATCTATGGGGTCACAAAGAGTCGGACACGACTGAGCGACTTGGCAGCAGCAATGAGTACATGACTGTATACAACTTGAGTGTAAATGGGAAATACCCTCACTTTTCAAAATATTCTCCTCTACTTTTAAAGAACTCCTTTTTAACAACTTAACGTGTTCTTGCCTGGAGAATCCCAGGGACAGGGGAGCCTAGTGGACTGCCATCTATGGGGTCACACAGAGTCGGACACGACTGAGCGACTTGGCAGCAGCAATGAGTACATGACTGTATACAACTTGAGTGTAAATGGGAAATACCCTCATTTTTCAAAATATTCTCCTCTACTTTTAAAGAACTCCTTTTTAACAACTTAACGTAGAATAAAAGATGAGGAAGTTGGGCTTGATGCAGTAATTTTTTTCTATCAAGAGGCCACATGGAGATAGTGTGACAAACTGATGCTCCCAACTGAATTTTCCTGAACTAAGTGAGAAATTAAAAAACCTCCACAACAACTGGTTTATCTTAGGAGTCCCCCACCTGATTTTATAACAGATATGAGGGAGACGAATAGGTACAATGAAACAGGAAAATGGAAACACATTTTTAAAATCAGAATAGGGAGAAAAACACTGGGAATTCAAAATAAGAAGACAGACCTGTAGATCAAAACGTCTTCGTTAGTTAATGAAGTTAAACTTGGATATGGTGCCCTAAAACCTGAAGTACTTGGCTGCAGAGGGAGAAAGTGAAGTTCAAATTTAATTCCCCACTACCTCATCAGATTTCCACCAGGGACAACCCTCCGCCATGAGGTGTGCCATTCAGCAGTCCCCTTCACGTCAACGTTTTTTGAAGATTTATTTATTGGCTGCATCTGGTCTTATTGCATCACGTGGACTCTCTAGGTGTGGCTCGCGGGCTCATCACAAAGGCTTAGTTGCCCACGGGAGGTGGGATGTTAGTTCCTCCACCAGGGATCGAACCTGAGTCCCCTGCATTGCCAGGTGGATTCTTAGCCACTGGAATGCCAGGGAAGCAGGTAAGTCCCCTCTTTCATTGCAAATTTAGGGCCCTTCCACCATCTGTGTGGGCAACTGTCATCTGGGAAGTTCTTTGAAACATCAGAAACCTCTTCAGGTATGGTAGGAACCTGGAAAATTTATCCTCTAATATTCCACATTTGGGAACTACTTCTGAGAAGAACTGTATTCTCCCCGAATATGACACCCAGCGTTGATGAGTAAGCCTTAACTCCTGGGACGGATTTCACTGACATTAAAAAAAGAATACAGTTGACCTTTCAACATGGGTTTGACCTGCAAGGATTCACTTATATGTGAATTTCTTTCAGCACTAAATAATACAGTGCCACGTGGTCTGAGGTTGGTAGAATCCGAGGAAGGGTATATGGAGTAACCATGTGAACAGAGGCTGAATATAAGTGGAATGCCCAGAGGATCATCACCCCCAATGCCCTGGTGTTCAAGGGTCATCTGTATGGCCTTATTTTCTTTTTTTTTGCTCTGACAGATGAAATCTCAACCTACTGAATACAAACCAGGTGCTCACCTTTTTACTCTTGAAGAAACCCACTAGGTTTGGGGGGAGCATAAAAGCTTTGGCTCAAGCCCTGTGTAATGGACACACAATCCATATTTACCTGGAAGAACTTCTTATTTCTGTAAGGCTCACAGACCAGATTTTCCAAATTTCCACCAGTGACAAACATCAGCACCACGATGGTCATGACTATCCAAGAAAAGAAGAAACTGAATCCAACCCCACTGGAAAAACAAACAGACAGGAAAAAAAAAGTTAATTCTACAGGCAGTTATTCACTATTACCAGAACTTACTCATTCTACCTATTCCACATATAAAATGACCTGGGACATCAGCTTTCGGCAGGTTAACCCCGGTTCAGCCTACCCAGGGATGCAGACAGAAGTGCAAGGAGCGCCTTAGGGGGATACTGGGCCCTGGGTCCCTGGCCCGCCTGCAGCCCAGCACCGTGGCGCAGATGCGGACCTGGGGTCACCTGAGGGAGCCAAGGCTGTCCAGTGAGTGAGGAGGCTGTAAGTTAGTGTCCATGGAAAATGCTGATAGGACGNCTGGGTCCCTGGCCCGCCTGCAGCCCAGCACCGTGGCGCAGATGCGGACCTGGGGTCACCTGAGGGAGCCAAGGCTGTCCAGTGAGTGAGGAGGCTGTAAGTTAGTGTCCATGGAAAATGCTGATAGGACGGAAATCCTATCAGCAAAGGACGCTGCAGCCATCACCATCCCATTACACCTGCCCCAACGGTGAGCCCTGCCCGGCTCAGTATAGAAACAGGATGCCCACCCCCCATATGGCCATCACCCGCTGCAGCCACCCCCGAAAGGACGCCGCCTGAGGAGACTCAGGAGGACAGAGCATAGGACCCGGGCCCCCGGATAGCTGAGGTGCTCGTTGCAGGAATGTCAGTGATCCCAGACGGTTTGGCTTTCTTTTTTTTTTTTTTAAAGAGATGAATCTGTAGACATGCCACCTGCATTGTAAGATTTTATTTTTAATTTGTAGAATGTTGTGCTGGTTTCAGGTGTACACAGCAAAGTAAATCAGTTGTACCTATACATATGTCCACTGTCTTTTTTTTTAAGATTCTTCTCCTATATGGGCCATTACAGAAGACTGAGTTCCCTGTGCTATGCAGCAGGTCTTATTAATTATCTATTTTATATACCGTAGGGTGTGTGTCTATCCCAATCTCCAGTTTATCCCACCACGCTTTACTCCCTGGTAACCATACATTTGTTTAGTCTGTTCCTGACTCTATTGCTGTTTTACAAATAAAAGTTCATTTGTACCCTGTTTTGTTAGATTCCACATAGGAGCAACCTCACATTACATACTGAGTGAAGTAACTCAGACCCAGAGAGACCAATCCCACGTGGTTTTCTTTAATCAGCACTAATCTTCTGAGGCTCTGAGGGCCGGGTCTTTGTCAGAAAAACTCCTCTGTATCCTGGCTCCTCCCTCACCTCTTCAGAGCGGTTCCCTCAGAGCGACTTGAGAGGCTGTGTCCTGGCCTTCAGTCCTCAGTTTTGTCCACCAAATACAACAGAATTCCCAGCTTTTAGGGGGTGCGTTTTTGTTTTTGTTTTTCAGTTGACAGCAGGAAATGTACTCTGGGGAGTTTGAAAGCAGATGTATTCAGATATTCAGAGGGATGTCGACAGAGAAGCACTGTGAGGGACAGCCCAAGATGGTGGGCAGGGGCATCCAGTGGGGAAGGAAGAGCGGTTCCCTCAGAGCGACTTGAGAGGTTGTGTCCTAGCCTTCAGTCCTCAGTTTTGTCCACCAAATACAGCGTAATTCTCAGCTTTTAGGGGGTGTGTTTTTTTCAGTTGACAGCAGGAAATGTACTCTGGTGAGTCTGAAAGGGGCGGATGTATTCAGATATTCAGAGGGATGCAGACAGAGAAGCGCTGTGAGGGACAACAGCCCAAGATGGCAGGCAGGGGCATCCAGCGGGGAAGCCTGGAGGATCCTGGGAGGGAAGGCCACTGAAGGTCTTTAACGGGAGGAACACTTCCCTCTGCAAAGACAAGCCCTCTTGGCCGCGTGTGAAGGGTGGATGGACAGGTGCCCACAGTGGAGGCTGTCAGGGAGCTGGCTGTTTCTGGCCCCGGATGGGGACCTGATGCAGCTGGGAGTGGTGGAGTGGAGTCAAGGGTGAAAGAGGGCTGGGCCGGGCGGAAGACACGGGCGGATGTGGTGAAGCTCGTGCGCTGGAGCTGAGGGAAGGGAACAGAAAGGATGCTCCAGGGCCCGTCAGCAGCAAGGACAGAGCAGGGAGAAGATGGGCTTTTACGAGGCCCTGTTTTCCGGGAGACGTGGCGGAGGAGATGCTGCGCAGATGCAGTCTGGGGTTTGGAGCACTGAGGCCTGGGGTGCAGACCTACTTTAGGGAGTCAGTGGCTTAGAAATGATGACTGACCCTTGGGGCGGCGGGGGAAAGCAGGGGCAAGCCTAGGACTGACTGGGCCTGGGGGGACCTCACCATTTGAGCAAGAAGTGGTGGAAAGACAGTCAGCAACGGAGACCAAGGTGGAGGCTCAGGAGGGTGGGAAGGAAACCAGGAGGGTGTGAGGTCACTGGGAGTTAAGGAGTGTTTGCAGAAGGAGGGGCAGCTGTTCCGTCACTGCTGTGACGTTCGAGAAGGACTCGGAGAAGTCCACTGGGCTGGAGACGCAGAGGTCACCACTGATCTGACAGTGACAGGCAAGTAATCACGGTGGCTCGGGCTGGGCAGGAGGTGGGACACCAGGAAATGGGCAGCAGACGCAGGTCTTTATTTCAAGACGTCTGGGCAGAGAGGGGCGTTAGAGGGAAGGATGGGGTGTCTGCAGGGGTATTGTTCTCATTTCTACAGAGGGGAGAGCCCCATGTGGTGGCCAGTAGACATTCGCCACTGTACCCCATTCAGCCCCTACAAAGCTCCCCAGAGCCTCGGAAGACACAGGATCACAGAGAAGCCAGGACTCCTCCTTTTAGATCTTTTCACTCGGACCCTCCTGGGAAGCAACGACTCTTGTTGGTTGTTAGGGACACCAGCTCTCTACTCCACAGCGTCAACCACTTTCAAAGAGCAGGTGGTGTTTTGGCTTGAAGCTGAACTAAACATACTCTTTCTCATTTCTACAAGCAAGTCAGTGATTAGAAGGAAGAAACAGCATTCTAGTTTGATGAGTCCATCCAGTTTTTGACCAGATGTCTCAAAAGATGCAGCATTCTGCCAGGCGTAGCAAAGTATGCCACGCTGAGGGGTGGGCTTCGACTGCAGACGCCCTCAGGGTGCAGACCACCCAGAATGCATCTGACAGCAATTGATAGCTACCAGCTTTCCCCTACTGCTGAGATGGGTCCTATGGCTCCTAAGTCATAGGTTTACATGTGACTCTAACATTTAGAGATTCCTTAACCTGAGATGTGAGTATTACATCCAAACTGAAGTGGCTCTCAGCCTCCCATCAGTTTGCTCATGACTCTGTTTTATTTTAATTTTTTGAAGCTAGATATCACATTTTTTTTTGCTTTCATTCCCCCCAAAAAGTAGAATACTTTTATGAAAGCTGGACCTTTTCAGAGCAATTTATTTCCTTCCTTCAATAATTAAAAAGATGTATCAACAACACATAAATCCACCATGAAAATACTGATAAAACAGCCAAGTGATAGGATTATTAAATTTTGAACATTAAATTAATCTTCTGTCTATAGCTGTGGACATTTAAACAAAAGGCCGGGCAAATACATTCTTCCTTGCCGGTTTAATTCCTGAAATTTAGGCATGGAAGCAAGAAGGCTTTTCCATGGGTGGAACTCTGTCCAGCTTTGTCCAATTCTGGCAGACTCCCATGTCATTAGCTTTAAGGTTATTTTTAAAACTTCACTTAAAAAAAAAAACAACTCACAAATGAACCTAACGGAAAGACTCACGGACACAGAGAAAGACTGGAGCTTGCTCGGGGAGGGGGTAGGGCAGGGAGAGTGATGGGCTGGGAGTTTGGGGTCAGCGGATACAAATTATGCCATTTAGGATGGATAAACAACAAGGTCCTACTGTATACACAGGGAACTATTATTTAATATCTTGGAATAAACCATCACCAAATAAACAGGAATAAATAAAAAGGAATGTACACATGTGAGTCACTTCACTGTACAGCAGAAATTAACACACATTGTAAATCAACTATGCTTCAATAAAACAAAAACTCATGTGCCTGTATTCATGTGAATGAAGGCTTGTACTACAGTGAAGCCTGAAGCTTTATGGAAATGGCCTTAACTTTAAAGTCACAGCTCATAAGTAGCCAGATTATTATAGTGACCTAAAGTTTAAAAAAGCAAATTAATGCATGTCACTATAGACACAAGTAAAGAAATGGCTGTGGTTTTGGTTCCCTGTGACCCAAAATACTTCTTCTAAATCTTAACCCTCCCCTGGATCCTCATCACCACCACCTCCAACTCATTCCCAGGAGTTTATTGGAAAAGAGAATATCACACAGCTTCCTCTCTGGGGAGCACTCCAAGCTTTTACCCCTGGTCACTGGTTTACATTTCTGGCTCCACCTCCACTTCCATCCAGCACATGCCCCCACTGCTTTGTTATAACTTAGTAAATGGTTTTCTTTACAAAAATAGGAACTTGGATACAAATCTGACTGCTCCAGTCTGTGTCACATTGAGCACCTGCTGGTACCTCTGATGGTACTCTGATGGTATCTGATCCCATCACTAATACAGGCTACCTGTCTAACTCCCAAAGGTGCTGGCTCCACAATCCCTGTTCTAAAGGGAGCTCTAGAGCTTCAGAGTGAACAGTGTCTGATATCAGGTCAATCTTCAGAAAGTATCGAATGTATGGGTTGGTAGATAGATTGACAGACAGATAGATGCTGTTGTTTTTTAGTTGCTAAGGTGTGTCTGAGTCTTTTTGACCCCGACAGGCTCCTCTGCTCATGGAATGTCCCGGGTAAGAATACTGGAGTGGGGTGCCATTTTCTTCTCTAGCAGATCTCCCCAGCCCAGGGATCAAACCTGCGTCTCCTGCTTTGGCAGGTGGATTCTTCACCATTGAGCCACCAGGGAAGCTCAGAGAGATAGACAGATATGGGGGAAAATAATGAGAATTAAGAAAGCAAACTTGGAAATAACTTCCTGATAGCTGCTTTAAGGAGGAGCCTACTATACACACATGGATATACTTATAAACATGGATTTTAAGCTTGTCTCTCAAAGTGCCACCGACCTAGAGTTTCCTTGATTTTTATGCTTAATGGAATTTCCCAAACCAATGAAAGCATAGTCACATCAGGTCTCCCCTGTCGGTCACAGGAACCCAGGGTGCTTGGCCCGGAGGCCACCGGGTCCCGGTCACACCATGGCCCCCACCCCGTGTTTCCACCCTTCACAGACCAAGGAAGAGCCGAGACTCACACCATGAGGAGGACGCCCCCGGTGTTCGAGACGCAGCCTCGGTTGGTTGGGGTGACATTCTGGTCATAGCCCAACGTGCCACACAGCAAGCCCAGGAGGTAAAAAATCAAGATGAGGGTCAGCAAGCAGCAGATGGTCAAGCAAACCAGCCACCTGGTGGAGCAAACACAGAGCAGGCACGCTGAGTGGTGACGTCATCGCAACACAGGCGTGCTGGACCCAGGCTGGAGGGGTCCACGTTACCCTTGGCAATCAAACATCAGAGTCCTGCTAATTCCTCAGAGGGAGAGCGTGCTGTGAAAAGACCCCTTTCCAGCCCGAGTCCTCCAACCCAACCAAATCAACATATATCCTGGTTTTGAAGAGCTCTCACAGGTCATGGGATTATTGCTTCTTTTCCTTCACTTTAATCCACGAGGCAACTGACAACCATGCCTCTTAGGGCTTTTCAGTTCTCTGAAGGTTCCGGAGGCTACAAGTGTGGATAATCAGGGTGTTAGAGAAAAGGGTAAGTGATGGTTGGAACTCTGCATATTCAGATAGCTATTGAGGGTGGACCCAGGACAAGCCAAGCTTCACTGATTTACTTCCCCCACCAAACACGACCATGCCCCTTAGGCTTGGTAAGTGATGGTTGGAACTCTGCGTATTCAGATAGCTACTGAGGGTGGACCCAGGACAAGCCAAGCTTCACTGATTTACTTCCCCCACCAAACACGACCATGCCCCTTAGGCTTTTCAGTTCTCTCAAGGTTCCCGAGGCTCCAAGTGCTTATTATGAGGAGGACGAGATACAGACAGATCATGTTAGACAACAGATAAGAAGCTGGGACTGGTTCCCCTGGTCTTTTATCTAAAATGTTTTGTGATTTGAGGAATACGAGGGACGGGGGTGGGGAGTAACCTGTGTTCCTTACTGAGGCAGACACCTTCTACTTGACGAATGCACTGACTCTTTTAGAAATTTTCACATCAAGTGAGAACAGTGCATGCTCAGTCGTATCCGACTCTTTGTGACCCCATGGACTAGCCTGCCAGACTCCTCTGCCCACGGGATTCTCCAGGCAAAGATACTGGAGAGGGGAGCCATTTCCTGCTCATGGGATCTTCCCGACCCGGGGATCCAGCCCGAGTTTCCTGCATCTCCTGCAATGGCAAGCCGATTCTTTACCACCAGCACCACCTGGGAGCCCTTAGAATTTTAGGCCCATGCCAAATCAAATGCCTGCAGAATGGGGGTCTCAGTGTCATGGGAGGTCTTGTGAGACACTTGAGGATAAGGGATCCTCAGGTATTGCTGGCATTCCTCGAACGTACAGCAACCCAGGAGTGTTCAAGGGTAGAAATACTTCCCAATCTTTAAAACACTAAAAAACAGAGTATGTACTCTGCGACAAAAGCTGTCACTGCAGTTTTTCATTCAATTAAGAATAAACTCAATTGTTATTAATAATGGGCTTCCGAGGTGGCACTAGCAGTAAAGAACCCGCATGTCAATGCAGGAGACCTAAGAGAAGAGGGTTCAATCCCTGGGTTGGGAAGATCCCCTGGAGGAGGGCATGGCACCCCACTCCAGTATTCTTGCCTGAAGAATCCCAAGGACAGCCACCTGCACCTACTCTGTGACGTTTTGTGCCAGATCCTGAGGATACAAATTTAAATAAGCCATGGAACCTGGCCTTAGGGATCTTTTACTGTTAATGCATGCCTCATGCATGCGGGAGGAGGAAGGAAAGGGAGCTGGTATGTAGACAGATCATTGCACCAATCCTCCTATCTGTACCACTCTGACTTCTAATGAGATTTCAAGTCCATTGGGAAAGGGTCTGTCTTATGCTTGTTCAAGAAGGTATTGGTGGCTCTGCCTACAATGTGGGAGACCCAGGTTCAATCCCTGGGTCGGAAAGATCCCCTGGAGAAGGAAATGGCACCCCACTCCAGTATTCTTGCCTGGAAAATCCCATGGATGGAGGAGCCTGGTGGGCTGTAGCCCAGGGGGTCGCAAAGAGTCAGACACGACCGAGTGACTTCACTCTCTTTTGTTTGTTCTGACACCTGCTGGGGTGGCCAAGCCGCATGGTAGGAAAAGGCTGGCTGAGACACAGTGATAAGTGAGGGCATAGTCAGGTAGGAGTTGAAAACCTACCTTTGCCATGTTGTCCTCAGTCTTGCGTAAGTCACTTCACGTCCCTGAGTCTCAACAAAACAGGGTTATAAACACAACACAACCTGAGGGGTTTCTGTGAGATGCCACATGGACGGCTCGTGGTGGGCACACTTCGACTGTTGCCTGAAGGCTAGCAAGTACTGTTATTGTCTCGCTATTTATCTTGTGCTCCTGCATAATAAGGAACACAAGTAGGGATGGTGGTCTCTGCAATCTCCTGGGTTTGGATGGCTGGAAGAGTTCCAGGAGTGGTCGTGGGGCTGAGCCTTTCAGAGAAGAGATCCCGTCTTGCTTCTCATGTGATCCTGGAGATCCCGTGAGTCTCTCCTGTCCTGTCCTCCCCTGAGCTCTTGTCTAAGATACATGCCCACCGGCATCTCCCAGGACCCCAGCCTACCCTTAATGCTTTTCTAAAGGACAGACAGCAGGGATCCACAGCAGCTTCAGACAAGCCACTGGTTTCAAGGATGCTCTTTTCCGTAAGAACCAGCCTCTATGGATTTATTTTATTTATGCATAAAGAGAAAAATATTATCTGAATGCTCTTTCTAATTTCTTTTAAATTGTAAAATCTTGTTATATACCTTAGATAATTACAACCAAGACTGTGGAAGCCATCAAAATTGCAAATAATTGACTATTTGGCTCAAGAACTTCCAGTCTTCAATATATATATATATATACACACACACACACACACACATACACACACATACATATATACACACACGTATGTAATGCTTCATGAATTTTCATGTCATCCTTTCACAGTGGCCATGCTAGTCTTCTTAGCAGAGTTTCAATTTTAGTATACGTGCTGCTGAAGTGAACACTTCAACTTTCTAAATGAACTTAAACTACGGTGAACACACATCACCTTATGGCCTCTTTGGACAATTTGCTGTCTTAAGATTATCCTGGTTATATCGTCAGATTTTCACCCCCCTCCCCAGCAAGTTGCACGCTCATGGTAGCACTGCTCAAAGAGGGCACTGACCTGTATGAATTGCATTTTTCCACAGTGGGTAAATAGTGGAGGATATAATCTTCAGAGTTATTAATGTAACGGACGAAATTCGACAGTGTCTTCTGAATAGGAATCTTTGTGCTTACATTTTTGACATCAGAGTGAATGGAATTCAAGGTCTTTTTAAACTCTGAAAACAAAGATGCCTCAGTTATGCATTTTCATAGAGAAGACAAGACACTTAGTTTTGGAACTCAACTGAAAAGCTTGAACCACTTTTAGTTCTTCCCATGTTATGCAGATGTTTAAAATATGAGAAGATTCTACAACAAGCATGAATGCAGCCAAGTCTACTGAAAAGCAATTGTTTAACAAAAGAGCAAGCTATGAGAACTGACTTAAATGACATGGCGTGAAATCAAGCCAGAGTTTTCTTCTACTTATTTCACTAAAAAAAGAAAAGCAAAATGGACCAAGTGACTAAACTGTACTGTGTGCCTACAATAGAGAAGGCATTTTTATAAATGTTAACTCATTTCTCATTCCCACTTCACTAACTGGGATGCTGGACTCATAGGGGTTAAATCACTTGACCATATGTCTGTTTTTCAGAAAGTACTAGAAATGGGATTAAAAACTCAGGTTCACCTACCTGTAAAGCTTCTGTTAAGTGATTTTGCAAAAAAAAACCCCAACTATTTAATAATAAAAGAATCCCTTCATCTACAAAACAGCACTGAGGAACACAGTAATTCTCCAGGAACAATTTTTTGAACATGTGACCTCAGGTGACATTTTTGTTAAAATTGCATTTGACTCATACAAACTGAATCTTGCTTAAGTCTACCTGTGTCTCCTATATGCAAAAAGCAGTACTATTCCCAGCAGTCAGTTTCTATTAGCATGTATCCTCATCTCTCAGGGAGGTTATGTTGCAGCATTCTGGAATGTGTGTGATCATCAGGGCAGGCCCTGGGATCAAAGTCAGCAGGTGGGGACCATCACCACTCACTAAGACCTGAAGGGGGCCTCATCCACAGTGATTCTTGACGCGGGGACAGCCCAGAAGCATTCTCATTGGTCAAGGTCTGCTGATTCTAAAGGGCAGATACACGTCTCTGCGGCAGCGGAACCAAGGCTGGCAGGTCTCAGGATGCGATCCAGGGCTCCCGGTGAACTTCCGGGAGCTGGGAGCACAGTCCGAAAGGAAATGACATCACACTGGTGGGAAATTTTTTTTTTTGGAAATTGTGCGGTTCAGCTCCGTGTGAATCCTCAGGAACTCCTAAGAGTCACAGTGGGCGGACATCTCCACATGACTCATGCCCAGAGACCCCAGGACCCTCCACCTGGAGACTCTGCAGGTCTCTTTTTTAAACTGATTAGTGTGTTTACTTTTGGTCGTCTTGGGTCCTCGCTGCTTTGCGCGGGCGTCCTCAGTTGAACGGGGGCTACTCCTCGCTGAAGTCTGCGGGCTCCTCGTCACGGTGGCGTCTCTCGTCGCCGAGCAGCGGCACACAGGCTTCAGCGGCTGCAGCACTGAGGCTCAGTAACTGTGGCTCGCGAGCCCAGGGCGCTCTGGTTTGGGGCTCTTGCAGGGCCAGGACCCGATACTGGCAGGCTGACTGTTATCCACTATGCCGCCAGCCAAGTCCTCCAGGGCTCTTTATCCACCCTGAGATTTCTGGGGGTTGCTACACGTGTCATACAGATACCCGCTCCCCGAAGCGCAGTTTCCTCGCCTCCGAATCGGGCCCCTTCCGCTTCTCGGGCTGGGTTCCTCCCCACACTCCGCACACCACACTCCGCGGTGACTGTACGCAGCTGCCGCCCTCTAGGCAAGTACCTTCTTCCGGCTTCAGTTCGGACGTTGCTTCCTGACGTCTTCCGCTGTTCTCTCTGGCCACTGGGTCCCTTGCACACACCTCACCAGGTTCCCAGAGGGTGACAGAAGCCAGCTGCAGGGTTCCAGCCCAGCTGCAGGGTACGCGGGGGTCACGCCTCCCTCACCTCCCATCCCCAGAACCCAGCAGCAGCGGGCACATAGCAGGTGCTAAGGGTTATTTGTTTGGGAAAGACATGAAAACCCTTACTTGTCTTCAGCCTGGG